ACTAGTCGATTATCTATCAATCGTTATATCGCGCACTAGGGCGCACAATGCATTGTGTATCCTGCCCAAAACGACGTCGTTTTTTATGTTAATATTTTATGTGTATTATGTTAAGATCGAGTTTATGTGTATTATGTTAAGAGTTTATGTGTATTCTGTTAAGACTTTATGTGTATTATGTTAAGAGTTTATATGTATTATGTATTATGTTAGATCAAATTATGTGTATTATGTTATGAGTTTATGTGTATTCTACTATACAATTTTGTACATTCAAAACATAGAATTTTTTTATTTTTATTTTAGAAATTAACGGCAGAAAAGGAAACGAAATTTCTATATAAAAAAAAAACAGATATAAAACGAAATCGTTTTGGTCAGGGTGCACAATGCATTGTGCGCCTTGGTGCACGATATAATTTGCCATTATCTATGGCAATTTATATCCTGCACCACGGCGCGCGTTGCATTGTGCGCCTAGATGCAAAACGCCGTCGTTTCAAATTTTTTATTATTATTATTATTATTATTATTTTGAAATTTCGCTACCCAGTGGTTGACAGTTAATTTTCCTTAAAAAAAATCTCATGTTAAAAAATGTACATAATGTTATACTAGAATACACATAATTGTATACATGAATGTACATAATTATATAACAAAATACACATACTCTTTTTTAAAAGATAATACACATAATCTAACATAATACATAATAAACATAAACTTTTAACATAATACACATCAACTATTAACATAATACATAAAATTTTTTTGAGTCGGATGTACATAATTGTATAAAAAATATACATAATAAAAAATATACATTATTATATAAACAAATATACATAATTATGTCAACTTCTTACAGCGCCTCTCAAAACGACGTCATTTTGGGAGGCGCGGGGCGCACAGTGCACTGGCGCCGTGGTGCAGGGTATAACGATTGATTATCTATAGGCACATATGGATGGGCTAAAAGTGCACCTACAAGTTAGTTTAATTTACTATAATTCCAAATGCACTAGAGGCCCAATAGTATAGTAAACTAAAATTGATAGCTAATTGGGTTTGTTTCGCCTGACTAAGTAGTTGAACTAAGTAGTTGAACTAAGTAGTTGAGAATGAATGAAAACGGATAAAATTATTTCTATGAATAAATTAAGTCATAATACAAACTTATATTTCATTTATTAATAAATTGATTCTGACCCAAAAGTTAACTTTATTTGTTATTTTAGAGTGCCTATATATACAAAGTGAGCTTTCCTAAATTGATGGAAAATCAAAGTAATTAATGTACACATCGATCATATCATAGATAAGGAGATATATAGCTATATATAAAATTATACCAGAAAAAAAAAAAGAAAAAAAAAAGAAGAAATCAAAGATGGTGAGAGGTCCTTGTTTTGACAAAAATGGATTGAAAAAAGGGGCATGGAGTGAGAAACTGGCGGCAACTCCTTAGATTCGCAGGTTTATTTATTTATTTATTGTTGTCTTCTAGTATATCTAGAAAAGAAATTAAAAGACAAGGTTTGATAAAACATTTGTGTTTTGTGTTTTGGAAATTTTCAGGTCTATCAAGATGCAGGAAGAGTTGCAGATTGAGGTGGTTGAATTACCTCAAGCTTGGAGTCAAGAAGAAGATCGATGAGATGATTCTCGAATTGTACAAAGAATTAATGAACAAGTTTGGAAAAATCATATTACTTTTTTTTTTTTTTTTTTTTTTGAGTAACAAGAGAAATCGCAGTACGTCATTATCAGGGGGTGTACATTGGATAAATTTCGTTTTATGACCTTAGCCAATAAAAGATTACAATGAGATAAACAGCATAAGTTGTCATTGCTGATTGACTCAAACTAATTAAGAAGACCAATAAACAACCTTTGTGGTGGTAATGGTAATAGCTATTCATCATCGGAATCTGATGAAAGATTAATCATGTCTTCGAACAATTCAACCGTCGCGGAAGACTTTACACTCCCATACAGCTTATTCTGTGATGATATTAATTTCTTGAGCAATTTTATGCAATAACAACCCTAATTTAGTTTCGGGCAATCCAAACTAAGTTGGTTAGGCAGTTAACTTAGTAATTATGTAAATTATGGTATACTAAGTTGGTTTACCTACATGGAGTTCTCTGTCGACTAGAGTTACAAAACTAGATTTACACGTTTACATATACCTTAGATAATTTCTGCAGATTTCCCATGTTACTCAAAAAAATTAAACATAATAAATTCACTACTATTGGAGTATTGGTAACCATGTAAAATTTTGCTTTTTTATTAATTACCAACTTTAATTTCTTTACTGATTATCCTTCGTATTTCCTTATAATTTTTAGGTTTTGACTTTTTGTATCAAATTAAAATTTCAATATAGATTATAGATTTCTGAAGAAAAAAAATCATTTTATGCCTTATCCCGTTCTAAAGTTGCATCATTCCATTATATATTATCATTCTTTGATGTTGATATGTTACCAATTGTGATTTAAATTTTGAGCCATTTAATTTAAAATTTATGATACGATAGCTCTAAATATTTATTAATTAAATCATAAACCTAGTAATATATTAACGTTCAATGATTATAAACGGCGAATGGGCAGTTTGATGATTTTTAGATAGGTCAAATAGGATATTTGTGATTTCGGTAGTTAATTATTGGAAGTGCTTGCGGTATTGTATCAAATATCAATTTGCCGAGATGGCATACTCAGCTCCTATATGTCACTAAGAAGTTGTCATGTTAGAAAAATTAAAATTTTTCGCACAGACTTAGCTCAATGGTTCAGTGGACAGAATTTAGGATAAGAGATGAGAAGAAGAAAAATTAAAATTAAACACACAAATTTAATTTTTAATTTTATCATTTGAAAAAAATATGATATTCTTTTCTATTTGCGTTTAAGAAAATTCAATATTGTTTTTTTTTTTTATTACAAAAGAAGGGAGATACCCATACAAACTACGCCTACACCGAGACTTGAAACCTAGACCTTCCACATAGGGGAGCAATCCAATACCAATGGACCACAAGTCACTTGGTAAAATTCAATATTGTTAACAAGAAGTTAATTACCTTATAACTTATAACCATTATTCTAAAAGTTTTTTCGTTGTAAGCTCCAATAATTGTATAGACCGGAAGTACTTTTTGGCCAACGCTGTGAGCATATTATAAATGGGTCACACTTATATGAGACCATTTCACGAATCTTTATTTGTGAGACGAGTCTGGTCAATATGAAAGTGTAATACTAATTAGAAATAAAGTGTTTTGTATGTACTTATAAGAGAAAATGTAATACTGTTAATTTTTGAGCTTTAAGCCAGCTAATAAGTAATAAGCTAAATATGCAAAACAGAGTCACAGTCACTCATCATTCTATTTTGTTATATTCGTTTATCGATTGCACACACTAAAACTATAAATGTTAGGGGTAGTGTATAACTAATCGATTGTCAACTACTATGTAGTGTGGTGGAGTTAATTACCGAAATAATCATTTGACTATAGCGATATTACCAATTTGATCATTGACTTTTTTTTTTTTTTACTAATTAAGCCCCTTAACTTTAAAATTTTTAACCAAATTGGTCCTCCGTTTTTGTCGGTAGACATCCGTCAACTCAGGACCAAATTGGTAATTTTGCTATAGTCAAGGGACCATTTTGGTAAATAACTTTTCGAAAGAAATGCTACATGTGATGACCGAAATGGTCCCTTGACTATAGCGAACTTACCAATTTGGTCCCGAGTTAACGGATGTCTAACAGCAAAACAAACGGAGGACCAAATTGTTTAAGATTTTTAAAGTCGAGGGACTTAATTGGTCAAGAAAATTAGTCAACGACTAAATCGATAATTTCGCTATAGTCATAGGACCATTTCGGTAATTAACTCTAGTGTGGTGACACTTTTGTTACCATTCTAAATGGTTGGTCACAAGACAAACCTTGGTGGTGGAGCAATGATTCTTTAGACTAAAAAATATTGAGAAAGTATATAATAGATACTACCTTGTAAAAAAATTATGAGTGTTTAAAAAATATATATATAACTAGCTGATTATCTATCAATCGTTATATCGTGCACCAGGGCGCACAAGGCATTGTGCGCCCTGCCCAAAACGACGTCGTTTTTTATGTTAAGAGTTTATGTGTATTATGTTAAGAGTTTATGTGTAGTCTTTTAAGAGTTTATGTGTATTATGTTAAGAGTTTATGTGTATATTATGTTAAGACTTTATGTGTATTATGTATAATGTTAGATCAGATTATGTGTTATGTTATGAGTTTATGTGTATTCTACTATACAATTCCGTACATTCAAAACATGGAATTTTTTTTAGAAGTTAACGGTAAAAACGGGAAACAAAATTTCTTAAAAAAAAAAAAAAACAGACACAAAACAATACCGTTTTGACCAGGACGCACAAAACATTGTGCGTCTTGGTGCACGATATAATTTGCTATTATCTATAGGCACGTATGGATGGGCTAAAAGTGCACCTACAAGTTAGTTTAATTTACTATAATTCTAAATGCACTAGAGGCCCAATAGTATAGTAAACTAAAATTGATAGCAAATTGGGTTTGTTTCGCCTAATTCCAGTGCACCGTGAACCTTGGTCTATGCTATAAGGACTGCGTATACCAAATCACCAAAAGGAATAAAGATTTCTTTTTGGGTTGCCATGTCTATGAGCAAGAAGTAATTTTTGTTCTTTTCTTCTTCTTTTCTTGTGTTGGATTCCATGAGTGAAATTGGAGTCTTTTGTTAATGATGTTTGATGTTTACTGAGAGAGTAAGTAGTATCCCATGAACTACTTATGATGTAAATTAAGGAATAGCATGAAATTATCAAGTTATAAATTAAATTACTCTTTATATATTTAATTTATTCAATTCATCATGAACAATCTTCTCGAGAGAATGCCTAAAATTTATATAAGATACAAAACAGGTATACTTCATATTATTTCTCAAAAACATTACTTAACAATCAATACAACAATAAAATGGCAGCAAGCATCTCATGAATGCTACCGCATAATACACACAACATGCAACAGAATTATTGGAAAACAAAAACAAAACAAAAAAAAAAGGACTTGAAATCAAATGGGAAAATAGTAACTAACGCTGCAACTATATATATTGCGCGTTGGGATATGATGTGGGCGGATGAGAGCGAGTCAGGTTGCATGATATGATATGATGCATGCATGCATTATTCTCACTTCTTAGACTTGATGCTATGGTTAATGAAGGTGATGAGAGAGGGAAATATGGTGGATTTTAGGTGAGGTGTGTTGAAATCCTGACCCAATTTGAGTTTGGTTAAATATTTGAAACGCAGAAGCTGGAGTTTTGGTAAATTCAGATCTGCCATGGGAAACTCCTCAAGGTCTCCTCCAGTGATGTAAAGTGTTTCCAATGAAGAATGCTTCTTTTAGCCCAATTTGGCCAATCTTTATCTGGATAGCATCTCAGGTCAAGCTTCTTTAGATGATTTGGCAGAGCCTCCTCAATATCTGTTTGTTGCTGTGGCGGCGGATTCTCAGTGCTGGCACTTTTTTCCGGTTGTTGCGGTGGCGGATTCTCAATGCTGCCACCACCACCACCATCACTTTTTTCCGGTTGTTGTGGTGGCGGATTCTCAGTGCTGCCACCACCACCATCATCACTTTTTTCCGGTTGTTGCGGTGGCGGATTCTCAGTGCTGCCACCACCACCATCATCACTTTTTTCCGGTTGTTCCTGTCGCGGATTCTCAGTGCTGGCACCTGGTTTTTGCTGGGGCTCTGGTGTTATCCTCCATGTTATTGTGAGAATGCAAAGCTTGCTCAAACCGGTTAGTAGATCTATGTTGAAGTCGCGTTCAGTGAGTATGATGCTCAACTTCCTTAAGCTATCAGCAGTTGCCAAGGCTTTAAGAGAGGTTTGAGTGGATTGGTCTACCTTGAGACCCTTTAAGGTTTGGAGGAACTGAAGGTGTTGAACAAGGCTCCACAAATTGGTGTTCTGAAGGAGGTAACATTCTGATACGTCGAAATGAGTGAGCTTATAGAGCGAGGCAATCTGAGAAGGAAGTGTTTCCAGATTGTAACAGGCCTTGAGGTCCAAGATTTGGAGGTTGCAGCATTTGGAAATAGTGGAGGGCAATTCAGTGATCCTTGAAATCCCTCTCAGGCTCAAGTATTTCAAACGCCTGGCTACATGGAACAGGGCTTCCAAGATGCGGCCATCTTCAATCTCAATGTGAGGTACAGGCAGGTTGTCTCGCCACCTTCCCAGGTGGAGAGTTCGAAGATTTTTCATTTTACCAAAGGCTTCATGATCCATATACAAATATTTCTGGGTAACATTGATGATTGCCAGTAATCTCTCCAAGGCCGCCTCATCATTGCTCACTGCATCAATTTTTATGGCTTGCTGATTCTGGTAAATTGTGGTGATCATTTTGTTGTTCTTCTTCATGGGAAAAGGAAATTGGTTGTTGAGGTCATTGTGGCCAAATAACAACTCTTCTTTTTCTTTCAAAATCTCACAGTTTTTTCTTCTGTTGTAGACCACAGGATCATTCATCCACAGCACCCTCTCCAGATAATTCATCTGATATTTTGCTACCTTCTCTAAGCTCTCGATGTCATTCACCACTTTCATTTGCTCATCCTTCAACTTTTTGATGAGATCACCACCACTAGCATCATTATTGTTTTTCATAGCATCATCAATTTGAGTCTTCACATTACTTAGGCTGTCTTTGAGAGCATTGAGGAGGGCATCATGATGATCGCTCCTGGGCCCGGCTGCAGGTTTCATTATTTTTCCATGGGTGACTACTTCAGCAACCAAAGTATTGAGAGGATCTAGAAATCTAGTATAAGTGTTGAGCAGCTTCTTTTGCCTATCAGACACCTCTTTAAGACGATCCTTTATTGGCATTATTATTTCAAACGACTCCTCCTTCCCCTCCTTAACATCATGCTGCTGCGCTTTCGTTATCTTCTCCCAGATAGCAGCATTAGCTTGTATCCATTTGAACCTATAACGAAACCTGTCATATTTCCGAGTTTTAGTTTTCCAAGTGGCAATATGGTCTACCCCTTCTCCATCATCATATAAGCACACACGTCGGCTTCTGGGAGGAGGATTATTCCCAGGAGGATGTGGATGTGGATGTGGATGTGGATGCTCCTGAGGAATACCAAAAAATTCAAACAACTTGGCGTCCATTGCAATTGAAACCAACATTCTTCGAATCCAAGGATGCACACGACAACCCTGTACATGCACTACATTATTATTATTATTATTATTATTATTATTATGCAGTTGGTCTGTAGTAGTGTTGCCACCTTCATACCATGGTTGTATTAACCCATGTTGGATAAGTTGGGTGAAGTTTTGTTCGCCAACTTCCTCAGCCACTACGAAGCCCTCTGCCATCCACCAATATATGAGTGGCCTTTTCTTTATGATGAAATCCTCTGGAAATGCCGCAAGGGTCAGCAAACACAGCTTCAATTCGTTAGTGGGAAGATGGTCGTAGCTCTTTTTAAGGCTAGCCGCCATCATTGGCGATATCAGGAGGCTCTCTTCGATGCACATTTGATGGCATTCCGTCGAGTTTGATACCGTTTTCTGCTTTTCCCTCTTACCGCCGCCGGTTAACGACGATGATGCACTGCTCTCCTCCTCCTCATCCTCCTCGTACCCATCATCTTCGTCCGGCAAGCTCCCGAATTGGGAAACCAAATTCTTGATTTTCTCTGTTTTCTTACCAATACAATACAACCATTCAGAAATTTTCATCAACTTTCTCTCCTCCTCCTCCGTAGTCGTAACCTCTTTCTCCTTCAAATTCCGCTCTATGGCTTGCTCTTTCTTTTTCAAATGCTTAATTAGGTGGTCAACATCTTTTTCTATGCACTTAACCTTGCCTTTCACATGGGCTATCATGTAATTTTGGGAGCAAAATTCAACCACCAAAGCCTTCACTATATTCAAATCATTTGTGATGTTTGTAACCAAAGCTCTCTCAATTTTGTTCACATACTTCGCAACCTCATTGCCCATCTTCCTGACCAAATAGTCAACCTCAAACTCATCGTAAAGTGGTAAATTATTGTAGTTCAAATTATATTTATAATACTGAGATAGTAGCCACATATATTGGTATATATTTATATACATATATGATTTACCATTTATAGAAATTTAATTAAAATATAATCTACAAAAGATACTGGTACTCTGGTAGCGTATAGTAATAGTAGAGGAGTTATAATTCATTGAGATATAACAGTGTAAATGTATTTTTCTCTAATAAAAATATACTATGTTCAACATGATCTAAAGTAAAATATATATCTTTAAACATTAAAAAAAAAAATTAAAAAATCATAGACATAACATGCAATGGATTGACATATATAATGCTTTATTATTATTATTATTATTATTATTATTATTATTATTATTATTATTACTAGTATTTGTCCCGTGCGATGCACGGAAACTATTTTATAAAAATATACACTATATGAGGTTTATTCATATATAAAATTTTTGTTATTTAATAATCATTATGTGTGAATTCCTATGATAAAATTATGAACATAAATATATTTACAATTAAAATAATATTTAAGGTGGATGATTACTACAAATCTTAAACTATATTAAAAATTTAGTACATAGTATTTAATATTATAAATTTTTAAGAACTTAGTAAACTACAATAGTAATTGAATTACAATTTTAGAGTCACCACGGATCAAAATTTTTAGACCTTTGAGATTTCTAATTCTAGATGTAGCAACATACAATTGACCTTTAAAGACCAAAATCACAATCTTAGTTAGAACATTGATATTTTTCTTCCAAATACTATCGAATTAAGTTTGTAATCAATAAAAGATGAGAACTAATAATTCGAGAATATAATCTTAATGTTACTAAGCCTACTTCACGTCAATTAAGTTGGAGAGTGTTGTTGGATAGTATCCGATGAATCCACGAATAACGCATCTTTGTCTCCGTAGTCCTCAATATGCACATCAACAATCTTAAATATTAAGCAACATAGCTATGCTATATATTAATTTCAAACTTATGGACTTTGGGGTTGCATGCATGCTTCTTAAAGCCATATGGCTTTAAGATGTGAAAATTAAATGTTGCATTTAATTTTCACATCTTAAAGTAATTTTCACATCTTAAAGTCCATTTAATTTTCACAAGACTTTCACATCTTAAAGTCATATGATCTTGTGAAAATTAAATGCAACATTCAATTTTTACAAGACCATATAGCTTTATTATATATAGGATTATTATTATTATTATTATTATTATTATTACGCTTCACAAAGAAAAAAAAAATTGATTACTTAGCATAGTAGAAGAAAATTAAATGCTATAAATTTTATGAGAGGTCAATAATTATATTAGTGTATATATACATCATTAATATTAGTGATATATACATCATATGAATTAAGTTCCAGTACTGCAGGTAAGTGTTTCCAGTGCGGTTGTGCGGATAATTAATGTGCGTGAGTTTTGTATTTAAGGTGCGTGACTGCGTGAGTCTTGTGCTTAAGGTGCGTGAGGTTTGTGCTTAATGTGCATAAATGTTTACTGAGTTTTTATGTTTAATGTGTGTGAGTTTTGTACTTAAGGTGCGTGACTGCGTGAGTCTTGTGCTTAAGGTACGTGAGGTTTGTGCTTAATGTGCATGAGTGTGTACTGAGTTTTTATGTTTAATGTGCGTGAGTTTTGTACTTAAGGTGCGTGAGTCTTGTGCTTAAGGTGCGTGAGTTTTGTGCTTAATGTGCGTGAGTGTGTACTTAATGTGAGTTGTTGTTGAAACTTTAAAGTGCATGAGTTTTGTGCTTAAGGTGCATGAGTTTTGTGCTTAACGTGCGCGGGTTTGTGCCTAATGTGAGTAGTTGTTGAAACTTAAAAGGTGTCTAAGTTCTGTGCTTAAGGTGCGTGAGGCTTGTGCTTAACATGCGTGAGGCTTGTGCTTAACGTGCGTGGGGTTGTGTTCTTAAGGTGTTTTGTTTGTGTGCTTAATGTGCGTGTATTTTGTACTTTAAGTTCGTCAGATTAATTCTTAACGTGCGTCCACCCGCACAACTGCACGGGAAGCCCCCACCCGCACCTGATCCCTTCCCTACATCAAATATATAAATATATGTTTGTTTATTTTATCTATATTGAAAAAATGTATTGGTAAGTAGTACATTGTATAAAGTATTTGTTATTGTCTTATAGATTGACACATTATGTATTTGATTATTTATGAGGGTTATTACTTTATTAGGTATTATTATTATTTTTAACAAATTACAAATACATTAATATATGTTTAAACTATTCAAATTTTTTTTTAGTATACACTTAGTAACTTTTTCTATTATTTTTTATTTAAATTTAAAATTTTCAAATTTACCTTGCCCCTACCAATGCCCACGGGGCAAGCCAACCTCTTTTAGGCTCATATTTTGATGGGCTTTTTAACCCGCCCGCAACATAACAGGCTTTGGCAGACCCGTTTTGCCCGTTATAATAAGAAAATCAATCTAGTTTTACATGTTTTCATTACCAGCTTCATGAAACAATATAAACCCTAATTTGGACCGCTCATCCAAAGCTATTGACAAAAGCGAACTAGCTAGAGTTATTAAAATAGGTTAAACTAGTTGGGCCATATATACTATCCTGTCATATA